CATTGCATGATTTGGCGAGGTTAGATATCGAGGTTTAGACATTGCATGACTTGGGGCGGGGGTGTGTAAATATTGGGGTTTAGACATTGCATAATTTGGCGAGATTAGATATCGGGGTTCAGAAATTGCATGATTTGGTTGAGTTAAATATTGGGGTTTAGACATGGCATGATCTGGCGAGGTTAGATATCGGAGTTTAAACATTGCATGATTTGGCGTGGTTAGATAATGGGGTTTAGACATGGCATGATTTTATGGTGTTAGATATTTAGGTTTAGACATGATATGATTTGGTGGGGTTAGATACTGGGGTTTCGACATGGCATGATTTGGCATGGTTAGATTTTGGGGTGTAGACATGGCATGATTTGGTGGGGATAGATATTGGGGTTTAGACATTACATGATTTGGCGGGGATAGATATTGTCACACGCAACGTAATATTACCGTAATTGGTATAGTACAGGTGTGATGGTTCAAACACCAAAATGGCAACAGTAACAGAAAAACTTCCCTGGCGGCGATGATATCATACAAACACGGAGCCAACAGATGAGGTTTCAATTGGTACTGGTATTATTATACTCTGCAAACATCAAGTACAATAACGCGGTAAAACCCCACTACTCCAATAACTAGATACTTAAACTCCAATACAATTCAACGAGATCTCCGATCTGATCTCGGTGCTGAACAACTCCCCTGTATATAACCCCCACTGTCTAATAAATAGACCATTACATCAGCATACATAGTGAGTCTGGAATTTACTACAAATTTCTAGAATGTTCCATTACCTTCTATTGCCTTCTACAGTGTTCTATTACATATTCAACCAGGTTCTAAAAAAATCTAGAATATTCCACACAGACACAGTACGGTTCTAGAACATTCTCAGTGACACGGAAGTGGTAAACAAGTCGTATGCGACAGATATCAGGGTTTAGACATGGCATGATTTGGTGGGCTTAAATATTGGGGTTCAGACATGACATGATTTGGCGAGGTTAGATATTGGGGTTTAGACATGGCATGATTTTGCGAGGTTAGATATTGGGGTTTAGATATGGCATGATTTGGCGATGTTAGATAAAGACGGAGTTTAAACATGGCATGATTTCGCGAGGTTAGATATCGAGGTTTAG